TATATACACACACACATATATACATACATACATATATACACATACATACATATATACACATACATACATATATACACATATGTACATACATACGTATATACATACATATGTATATACATATACACATATATATATTTACATTTCTATACATATATATTTTTTTATACATACGTTTCTAGTTTTAATGCTCTCAATTACCATGAAAAAAACATTAAGTTTAGTAATTTAACTGCTGATAACTAATTGAAGCCAATAAAGGAAAACAGGTTAAATCTGAACTTTTAATTTAATATTGTCCATAATTGTTGTAAGAGTCAAAAGTAAAAAAAAACAAACTAAAAGCTGCATTTGTTATTTTCCCATTGGATTTTCAATTTTTATTCAATTCATAGATTATATTTTCTTAGTCAAACATTTATATTAATTGTTTTATAACTAAGAAGCTTGAAACTGGCTTTCTGTTCTATTAAATGTGTTTTTGTGGTTTACAGTCATTGCGTTTTGGTAATATTGTAGTAATATCCCGTTAGTTGGATTTCATTAGCCTCGTAGTAAACATTCTACATTACTGTGTAGTGGTACTTCGTAACATTCTGTATTTATTTATTTATTGCCTTTATAATTTTCTCATACCCCCTTAGATCGAACTGGACTTCATCTCATAAATGTACAGTTTTATTTTAAAATCTGAATCCCCGCCTAATGTGTAAAGGTTAGCTCTGGTTAGCCATCTCCTTTTTTTGCTTTCCTCCAAACTACTTCCAAAAAAAGCGAGCTGTGAATCACACCAAGCATTGGTGCAAGGCCCGTGGCCTCTGGATCCTTTTGGACCCTCATCCCACCATGCATATTCAGTGGCCCTTGCAGCAGCATGGCTGGATGGTTGGATGAGCAGCGGAGACACCCCCCTCCTCCCATGGCGTTTGACAGTTAGCTTAGCCTAGCTGACGTTAGTTGCAAAATATCTACGACCGCTGTGGAATACACTTTCATGCATCATACTCTAATTATAACAAACCTTGATGACGAAGTTTCAGTCACTAACTTAATGTCAATATCAATACATTTCACAGAAATTCCGAGATATGCTACCTTTAGCATTTTGCGAACGACTAGCATGCTAAGCTGCAGAAGGGCTAAGAGTTAAAGTGGCTATATTTCTAGAGGCTAAAAGCTAACAGAAATATTAAAAGTGTACATCTAGCTTTTTCTGGGTTATGTTAGATATATTTAACCGTATGCAACAAAGATATTAAAAACTATCATATTTACCCTTGATATGACGGGCTGCTAATAAGAGTCCACAGGTCATCAGTCAACATTGTTTTGGTTGAAAGTGGCAGTTCACAACACGATGACTGATTCTGTTACTCCCCACTCGTCGTATCGTCGCTACATGACTACAGCAAACGGCGGGACACGTGAATATGGGTGTGCTCTGTCTGCTTTTCAGTTTCCCAGTTCCGATTTTGCAGTGAGTAGTCATGCAAAAATGTCACACTGCCTGAGCCGCGCTGCTAGCCGTTGGGAAAGTAGGTGCTAACCTCTAGGAAAAACATACAAAATGGAGATGAAGGCAAGGCAGCCCCAGCTCTGAGCAGCGTTCAGGGAGCAGCTCTGACACCTACTGGCAGCGTGTTGGAACTGCATGGGGAAGAACGAGGTCAACCTTAGGGTTTAGAAAGAAAAATGAAAACAACTGATATATAATTAAATAATAATTAAAAAGAACACCCAAAACAGCAAAAATAGACAGAAATAGAAAAGAAAAGACAATAGATTCAAGAATTAAGAAGATAATTAAGAATAAATAAATAAAAAATAAACACACACATAAAAGCATTGAGTACTTAAAACATCAAACCAACTTTTTTGTTGTTTGGTAATAGTCAAGTTTTAATACAAAAGCGACATCCTATAAATATATCTATACATTGGATCTTTTTTTAGACACTCATGTAAAACTACAAGCTTCAACACACTATTGTCATTGTTAAATAGTTTGTTGGTGTAACTTTTTACTTGTTCTACATATCTAGAGACTTAACTCATTCTTTTTCACAGCTCAAACTCTCTTCACAGATTAACAGGATTGTTAATATTAATGACACACATTTGCTCAAACATTTCAGCAAAATTTTAGGTTTTACCTAATTCGACTACATAGCAAATTCCCATGAACTTTTCTTTTTAGAGAACTGTGACACAAACATATTAAACAATCATTACATGGTGCATATCCAATTCAACAAGGCTTATTTACTTAAAACACATAATCCCCAGGTTCAGTAAAGTATACTTGCTTAAACTAATTTCAGCCTCTTCTGTGTAAATATATATATATATATGGTCATGAGCTTTGGGTCATGACCGAAAGAAGATACAAGCGGTCATCCTGTGAGGACTCAGAGTAGAGCCTCTGCTCCTCCACATCGACAGGAGCCAGTTGAGGTGGCTCGGGCATCTGGTTAGGATGCCTCCTGGATGTCTCCCTGGTGAGGTCTTCCAGGCACGTCCCATTAGGAGGAGGCTCAGGGGGAGACCCAGGACACGCTGGAGGGATTATGTTTCTTTGCTGGCCTGGGCGCACTTTGGGATTCCCCCGGAGGAGCTGGCCCAAGTGGCTGGGAAGAGGGATGTCTGGGCCTCCCTACTGAAGCTGCTACCCCCGCGACCCGACCTTTGATAAGTGGAAGAAGATGAATGGATGGATACTTACTTAAATCAGTACTAATAAGTGTATTTATTACAAATACATGAAGTTTATTGTTTGAATTGCACAATAATCAGAGTTACCTTTAGGCATATAACACATTAAATTGTATGTGTTTGAAATAATTATACTCAATATTTATTTTAAGATTACTTTTTTAATACTAAATACATAAACTTGATGATTATACATTTAAATTAAATAGGCTTTATTATAAAATTTTATATGCATATGCATTTAATAGGTTTGTGTTAAAGTTATAAGTTAAATAAAAAAGTAAATGGGAATTTTAATAAAATTATACAAATCTTAATTTTTTTGAATGCAAAATTATAACTTGAAGGTAAATATCTACCTTCACTTCGAACTCTTTGGGGTTTTTATCACGTTTTGTTCTTGTGTTTTAGGTACATCAATCCATAAACACAGGCTTGTGTTCCCATTTCCTGTTTTTGCAGATGAAAAATAACACCACAGCATGAGGCAGCCACCACCATGCTTCGCCATAGAGCTCAGTATAGTTTTAAACAATGCCTAACGCATATGTATCAAGGTTTTTAAAAGCTGTATTACAAAAAGATGGAGTCTGCCTACTCATATGTTTTTTTCTGATGCTAGTTGGTTTTAATACATTTCATTTTGGGGGTTTCAGATGCAAGGGGCTGAATATAATTGTACAGATATTTATTGTGTTTGCGCTTTAATTCTTGTCTTGTTCAATATTGTACAATATCTTAAGTCCGATTAGCAATAAACATGACGTTTCAATATAATACAATTTTTTTAGCTGCTATGTATCGAAATTTGGAACTTTATTACTTCTGCAAATAATCAATGCTAATATAAGGTAATTAAAAGTGTTTAAATCAACTGGAGTAAATAGTCTGAACATATTAATCTCTGTATTCTTTTTACTGGTAAAGTAGTTTGAATTTAGGTATTTTATTTGTGCCATTTTGATGTTGTTTTATGACGTTTGTAATGCAATACAGACATAAATACCTTTTTTTTTAGCAAAGTTTTTTTTTTTTTATAACTTTTATTTTCATAAATCCAAAAAACACTTTCAGAAAAACAGAAACATACAATTGAACATATGCAATCCATAGAGGTTTTCTTTCAGAAAAGGAAAAAACATAAAAGAATGAGAAAGAAAATTAAAATTAAATTAAAAACACATGGGTTTAACTAAACTATATTGCTATCAAGTCTGAAAACTTTAAGGCCATATTGTTCTCCAGTAACTTAATCGAGGCATGAAAACTTTTAATATCATTTTGGAATGCTTGAAAATTTGGAGAAACTTTAAAGAATGTGCACTTGTGGATAAAGAATTTTCCCATAATGAAAATAATATTACATAACAATTCCACATTTTCATCATTAAAAGTAATGCCAAATTTAACTCCTTTATATTCAAAATTAGGAATCACATTTTTCTTTTATAACCAATCATACATCTTGTCCCAAAAAGACTTAACCACACAACAACTGTAAAAAAGATGTTCTTGTGTTTCCAGATCTTTCTGTCAAAAGTTACATACATTAACATCAAATTTAAATCTTAAACTTAAGAACTCTGCACAGGGATATATATTATTTATAGTTTTAAAATGAACTTATTTCATCTTTGGCAATATAGGAAATGAAAAAAAAAATCTTTTTTTTTTTTTTTTAGCAAAGTAGTTTCTCTCTTTTTTTCCAGGTTTAGATGCTGAGAACACTGCCCTCTAGGGGCATAAATCAGCAACTAAATTTGAAGACTGCAATAAGAAAATGTATCATTAATATATGATAATGCAATTTTTAACAGAAAAGTTAAAGTAATTCTTTAAGTATTTAGAAACAATGCACGCTTGTTTTTGCCTATCTGCAAAGAGCAATATTCAATTCCTTTCACTAAACAGGCCTGTTCACATGTCGGCCTCTTTTGTGTGAAAAATAGGAGTTGAAGTCAAATTGAGTGGGAGAAGAGGAAGTAGGACAAGGGTTTCTGCTTGTGAGCAGGAAGAATAACACAGAAAATATCCTGTTTGGATTATTTGTCTGGGGATCAGGGTGGTGCAATAGCTTTCTTGGAGACATTCAGTCATCTGAATACTGCTTAGACCAAAGATGTTAGTATTTAGGCTACAATTGATCAAACGTGATGCAGATTTTTGGCAATGGGAAAAATATGAGAGAAACACTTTTTTTTATGTTTCTTCAGAGCTGGAGCATAGAGGATATAATGAAAGAGCTTGCAAAAGCAAAGTTGCCATTTTAATGTTTAAACACATACATATATTTCACTTCCTGCCGAGTTGCGAACCGTATTGTCTTACATTATTCATGCATTAAACTCAACCCACTTCTGAAACACAAAAACTAACCTGGGTTTGCTTTGCAATGTGCGGGAAATAAGCGATGACAGAAGGATGTTTCTAATGGGAGGATGAGTGAGATGAGTAAGTCGCAGGATTTATAGGACATCTGGGAGGAGAATCATTTAGAAGCAAAAATCTAGGACATGAAATCCGTGCCTGTCACAGCTGTCCTGCTTTCTAAACAAGCCGCAGATCTAATGAAGACACAATCTACATTCTGTTTGCTGTAATATCTCGACCTCGACTCAAAACACTACAGTACCAGAGAGACAATAGTAGAAGCAAAACATCACATCACTGGAGAAAAGAGATCAGAGAGCTCGCCGTAGCTCTAAATCCCTACTGTTTAAATCCCACTCAGTCCCCTGCGGCTGCTTAGCAACCCCTCTCCAGCACAATATACTGAGAATTAACAGGGTAAAAGCGTGACCGCTGCCTCCTCCAAAAAAACACCAGTCAAGGGTGCTCTCCCTTCGTTGATGCCCTCTCTGTGTGCAGCAACAACCAAGCGGCCCCGATTTTAAAAAAAGAAGAAGCTTGGAACAAGCACACGTGGCTCCATAGAAGTCAAACAAGCTGCAAAAAGGAAAGTCACTGAAGCATTTTTTTTTCCCCTGGTGGTTTAGAAAGACACATAAAACAAAGAGGAAGAAACAAAACTAAACAAGAAGTTCCCCCCAATATTAAGGCCTGCAGTTTAATGCTTTCATTTGTGACCAACATCAAAGTGCATGACAATAGTTGTCAGTCCAAGGCTTCAGTTTTTCACTTCATGCGAAGAAGATTTTGCACCCCAAGGCACTTGGCTTCAGATTTGCACTGCTGACTCTGTCATATTTTGCCTTAATGGCTGCTATACAGTCAGTCCCAAACCTCTGCTTCCTTTACCGGGTATAATCTGGAGCAAAGCATTTCAGTAATGATGGATATTTAGGGTTCTGTACCTAAAAAGATAAGCGTACTACTTTATACAAAATGGACGAAACAAATTGACTCATAAATGACTTGATATGCATGGAATATTTACACAAGTCTTGTTGAAATAAAATACCTGTGTAAAGAGAGACAGACACCAATGTCCCTAAAACCGTTCCGTGTGGTAGTTCGTTTTCAAAAGTCACCCATGTGGACAAGTTTCTTTTATAAGACCAAAACTTTGTACATCAGAAAAGGACAGTATATGGAAAACTTATGCCACATATCCACACTGTTCCTATGGTTAAACATAGAGATGCTGGTGCCATGCTGTGGGAATACTTTTTGTTTACAGTGTGGAGAGGATGCAAAAAGCGGGTAACATAAAACTATAGCTACAACAGATTATATTACATCAAATAGCCTAATATCATGTATATTTCCAGATCTTCCCTCTAAAAAGATAATGCAGCTCAACTTATGGGAATTGTTTTAATTGGTAACAAGTAATTGAATTAAGTTTGCCCACTTTGAAACTAAATAAATTAGGTTGGTTCAACTTGGCTCTACCTTTCTCATAACTCATCTGACATAGATATGTTATCCGGAGCTAATTTCTATATTTATGCTGCTATAGATCTCAGCTGCTGGAAAACATTGGATCGCTTTTCATCATTGTGCTTCATGCTATCTCTGTTCTCCAATACTGTCGTATTTCTTAGTTCCATCCATAACTTTATGTTCTCTCTGCTGTTTCTTGTTGTAGTTGTTTCATTTGATTGGTTCCTGTTTGATTGACTCCATCATGGAGAGAAATATCAGCTGTGCTGTCACCATCAACATCTTTGTTTTTAGATGTTGGAGCCTGGCCTGTTTTTCAGTGAAGTCCTGTTTCTCCTATTGTGACTAACTGTATTTGCTCTCTTTTATCCTTTGACATGGAAGCTGGCTCAGAGCTCGTCTGCCTTACTGTGTCTTTCCTGGACAGGACCACATAGAGATAGTTATCAGTTACCTTTTGTATATCTGGTTCTTTTTGTATGTCTGCTTCTATCTCGTTGAACCCCTGTAGGCCCCCGCAGAATGCTGCTCTCACTGAGCCTGGTTCTGCTGGAGGTTTCTTTCTGTTAAAATAGAGTCTTTCCACTTCCCTGTCGCCACATGCATGCCAAAGTGAAGAAATACAGAGCTAAAAAAAAAAGCTCAATATGGAGAGTGTCTTGCAAGTCAATGACTGGATGCAATCAACTGATTTCCTCTAAAGAAACTTTTAACTAATTTCACTGTATTGTCTTCATAAAGTGCCTTGAGATGACCAGTGTTTGAATTGGCACTATATAAATAGAGTTGAACTGAATTTAATGAAATTACTTGTTACCAATTAAAGCAATTAATTTAACTTGGAGCTGTGTTGTCTTTACTATACAGAAAAGGGTAAAAATATCAGTAATTTTCTACTCCAAAAGCTGAAGGTGAGGATTCTGGGGTGATGAATACAAATATATGCCACACTATTCAGATGTTTATTTGCAAAACGTTAGAAGGCAAAAAAAAGGAGTGAAGGGGGAAGTATATTTGCGGTCTGTGCGCCATCCTGAAATAGGAATCCACCTTAAAAAAAAAAAAAAAATCAAGTCGATAATGAAGGGATCCATTTTCAATGCCCCTTATCGTCAAATAACCATGTAATAGAGCGCACCAGTCATATTTATTTTGCTCTCAGGTTGATTTTTGACGGTGATATTACACGCAGATGAGGGTAAATCAGTCATTTGGATGTGCAGCTTGTATTTGTCACAGCGGATTAGTTTTGGATCTATAGACGCTGACACCTAACCTCTCCAGGGATAAGCGCGTCAGCTGAAGGTGTTAAATATGAAAGAACCAAACTCAGGGATTAAAATCCGCGCTGCTGGGATGTTGGAGCTGCGTTATTATAACTGAATCCACTTCGCCAGATGCGCAGCGCGCCGCGCCGCCCGTGCCCACAGCAGCACGGCACAGATGCACAGCCTATCTTAGAGCATCCTTCGTGTCGATGGACTATGAATGACATTTTCCTTTAAGATGATGTAAGACTGTGCTTCACGAGTGGACACCCCACACCCCCTCCTCCCATTGTGTCACGGCTTGGAGCGATGTTATCTTAAATCTTCTGCCGTTTTAGCGGCTTCCACACTCAGCAGCTTGGTCATACTGTGCGCAAAAGAGTCCCGCTTCCTGTCTCCTCCTCCTCCTCCTCCTTCTGAGAGTGTTTCAGCATCCCAGCATTCGGAAGCAGGACAATAGGATGCGTTTACATTTTATCCTCCAGTTTATCCTGGATTTAAGAGGGCTAAATTAAGATCCAGGTTTAGTGAAACTTTTTATTGTATTCTCGTTCCTGGAAGTTCATGTCCTTTCGTTTGAAGTCTCTTCAAGCACCAAACTGCAGTGGTTGTCTGTAACATGATGCTGGTTATGAAAATCGATGGTGTTCAGAGAGGATGCGCTCGCCTTTACGCACGGGTTTGAGGAATGCATCGCAGGAGCACCTTTGGGATTGTTCTGCCATGAAAACACTCTGTGCCGGGACTGCGTCTGGATTCTGGACTGTGGTTTGAGTCTGAGCGCATCAGATGCAGCGGCAACTCACAATCTAAACTTCTAGGACGTTTTGTGCAAGAGAAATGGCACTGAGCGAAAACTGCAAAACGCAGCCCGTTAAAGACCAGGGCTCGGTGCAAAGCCCTCCGTCGGATGTGGTGGAGCTCAACGTGGGAGGGCAGGTTTATTACACCCGTTACACCACCCTCACCAGCTTCCAGAACTCCTTACTTGGGAAGTTGTTTTCTAACAAAAAGGGTTCCTCTAATGACTTATCACGGGACCTCAGAGGGCGGTATTTTATTGACAGAGATGGATTTTTGTTCCGGTACGTGTTGGATTACCTCAGAGACAAGCAAGTTGTCCTTCCTGACCACTTTCCAGAGAGGGGGAGGCTGAAAAGAGAGGCAGAGTACTTCCAGTTGCCAGAACTGGTCAAACTTCTATCAGCTGAGGAGTCCAAAGTGGTTCTAGATGACAGCGACTGGGATGAGGAGTCACAGGGCAGTGATCAGAGGTTGTACCCATCTTACTCCCTGGACAGGAGGTATGGCTACATCACTGTGGCCTACAGAGGCAGAGAGAGCCACACTGACCCCAAGACCAAAAAGTTACCCAGAATCTTCATCAGCAGCAGGATTGGACTGGCCAAGGAGGTGTTTGGAGACACCCTGAATGAGAACAGGGATCTGGACAGACCACCGGACAGATACACCTGCAGGTTTTACCTCAGGTTCAAGCATCTGGAGAGGGCTTTTGACATGCTGTCAGAGAGCGGCTTTCACATTGTGGCCTGCAATACTTCCCTGACGGCGTCCTCCATGGGTCATTATGCAGACGACAGAGTCTGGTCCAACTACACACAGTACATCTTCTACCGTGAGTGGAGGTTTCATTCCTCTTTCTGTTTAAGCAATGCCGAATGGCCAGGGGCGACCTCAGAAGGTTTTCTAAAAGGTGGCCAGATGGGGCCCACTACAGGACAACATAAAACATAAATGTAATTTTAGACAGTAAATCATGTCTTTTATTGATTCCATCATGAAAATGATAATATTTAGCTTAAGTGCACAAAGTGGTGTAGAGTGAGAGTTTCTTTTTCTTATATTTTAAAAATGTTTTTATAGGGCTACTGGTATTAAATGAGTTTTAAACATTATTCAATACATAAGACATTAATTTAATAATGTGGCACTACTGAAAAAGTATGCCTATGTGCATTATATACATTTGTTACTGCGATGAGGTTCCCTTTGCATGATCTGTGGGATTATACCTTCCGTAAAAATTCAAAAAATATCCACTGGACTTGGTTTTCAAGATTTGAAGACGTTTCTCCACCTCTCCAGGAGGCTTTCTCAATTCAAATGTCTGGATCCGCAGTGAGTTTGAGTCTTATATAGACAAAGCCTTGTATTGCTTGGAAACATGCAAATGGTAACCGATGAATGGGTCGTTTAGTTCCATCGTTAGCCTGTAATATCTGTGGGATTATAATCAAAGACAAGATCAGCCTGTGGTGCTTTTTAGGTAATAAGGAAGCCCAGGAACCTTTTATATGATCTAAAACTCATTGTTGTTCCTGCTATGACATCATCATGGGCGGTTCTAGAAAGGGACCAACAGGAACCCCCTGCAGAACTGGTTCTGACCTGTTATTGCTCCTGTACAAAAAACAAAAAAATACACTGCAAAAATTGAAATATAACTAAGTCAATTTTTCTTTAAAATAAGTGTATTTTTAATTTGAGCAGGTAGATAAGATAATTTGTAGATGAAATAAGATAAGAGGGGGAAAAAAAGCATTTATCTTAATTAAAGAGTATAATATCTCATTTTGCAAATCATCTTATTTACCTGCATCAATTAAGAGCAAATGCACATTTTGCTTTGCAAGTGCAATACTAAATCAATTTCTTTTGATGAGATCCACTGATTGATGAAACTGTAACTGGTTTGTTCATGGGACTGATTTAAGTTCTTAAACAGTTGAACAGTTCTTTATAAATTACAGCCAGCTTTAAGCTTTAGCTATTAAAATAGGTTCACAGTTTTCACCTGGATCACGAGTCTGAATCCCTGGTTTTCTGGCTGTCCTAATATACTAAACAATGCACTCTTGGCCTGTTTTTTTTTTGTGTGTGATTGTTATTTTTTTGTTTTATTTAAAATGCTTGGGTACATCCTGTTTTGGTTTACCCGCTGCACAACTTCATTGTATAATTTCTGCATTCAAAATACATGTTTATCAGTCTTGTTTAACATTTTTATTTTTTATTTTTATGCTTTCATTACCTCCACAAAACAACAAAAGGCCATCGTAAGGCATAAAATGCAAGGAATATCAGTTTGGCAGAAATCTTTTAAATATTTCTTGTGTACCCATAGGATTTTATTTAAAGCTCATAGTCTGGAAGTTAATGGATTTAAGTCATGTTGATACACCTGATAAATAAATATTGCACCAAATAAAAACTTCTCCTGCCATTTGAATAAATAATTGCAAGAAATATATTGAAAACCTTTTAACAGTCTGGAAAGGGGGTGACAGTGGTAAAGCACCACATTCATAGAAGGGGGGTTTGTCCTTTCCCAACTCCCATTCCTTGTTGGTGACCTGTAGGCCTTTTCACAAACATGGTGTTAAATTGAAAAAGCAGCCATCCAAAAACACAGCAACGGAGGGGATAAAAAAAGATTAAAAGGAAGGAAGAAAACTCATCCTCCCGTCACCCATTCCCTCTACGTGTTCGAATCCCTTTTAGCGGCTGTCTGCAAACTTCTGTTCAGGGTCCGAGATTAGAGACAGACTTGGCCACGCTCCCCAAGGGAAGTTGAGTCACAATGCTGCTACACTTCAAGTACACATGTGTCATGAGTAAACACAGCTTATTGCTCAGATCCTTAAAGCTGCTGGGTTATGAATAATATAGCACCAGCGAGCAGCAAGGAAAGTAGGAGAGATATAACGTGTTCAGTTGTGAATCAGTAATACTCGGAAACAAAGACTGTGCATCGGCTAATAACTTAATTAGCAGCAAATCTGGTTCATTCCTGTGCAGAGAAGGCAGACATATGGCCAATTAAAAAGCACTTTGTTCATCACTGAATGGCTCCCTTTAGAAAAGCTGCAATACGCAGTGCCTTGGCGAAGTATATGCACACATTTTGTTACATTAGTGACCAAAAACCTTTACATATTATATTCAGACATTATATTTTAGACTAGTGGTACATATGAGAAAAAACGGGAATTTGAGAAAATATTAATATTGGAGTCACATTTTGACATTTTTCCTTTATTACATTGACCCCACCCCATTTTATGAGCTTCAGCTTCTTGGTCACTAAAAATACACACTGTGGGGATTAGGGGCATGCATCTCTGCATGATTAGTCTCTGAAAATATGATTTTCAGCCAACTTTTGCAATTAAGAAATCCTTTGCTTCTCTGAGAAGCACATGTTGATGCTGCAGGGATGATTTGCAACTGAATAGATCGTGCAGTTCTATTAAAACGAACAGAAAACGGTGTATAACTGTAAAAAAGACTAAAATGATGTGCTGTTTTCTATATTTTAAATATTAAATCTGAACTTAATTTGTGTTAGCTGTCCTTTGCTCAGATACCCCTAAAGATTAAATTAGCAGTTGTTTGCTAATTTTTTAGCAAACAACTGCTAATCTAATTAGCCGTGCTCCCCACGCTGCATGTTACCCCCTGGAAACATCCTCCCCATGGTGAAAAATGATTGTGGTAGCATCATGCTGTGGGTTTGTTTTTCCTGAGCAGAAATCAGAATTTTGCCATGAGTTGATGCTCCTTCTCTGCGCCTCTTGGTTTTAATGCGCCTGCAGATTTGCTCCTACTCATGTGTGGACCTGTGTCTGTTTGCTCATTTCAACTTTTCTCACTTTGAGGGTGGAACCAACTCCAGAAAGTAAACTGCTAACGATAAGCTACTCCTCAGGAAGTCCCAAAACTATTGTTTTCTTTCTAGCTGCAGCTAGAGTTGTGCAATACTACTTATTTTGGTACTAGTGCAATACCAAGTAAATACGTTGCAAGTATTATTGATATTGATACCAGTACCGATACCTTTTAATGTCTAAGGTTGAAAACAAACCTGACTTTGAAATGCTGTTGTGGTTTTAACTTTGTTCACGTTTGATTTACTTTTGGTAACATATTAGCATACAGAGAAGAAACAACAGAAAACAGAACAAATGTTTGCATTTTTCTTTAATAAGCAAAGTGTGAAACATATGAAGGCAAAATGATACAAAATCTGTTTCACGTTAGATGTTGTTAAAAAACTCCAAAGAATAATTACCAGAAGCCCCAATGTGACAAAGCTTGACACAAAAAAATGCTCAACAGTAGTTGCAAACTGATTAGAAATGTAAAAGTCTTTGTTCAACTACAAACCAGAATTCATTTAAGCCTGACTTTCCTCAATAAATAAGTGAGGCTAATATTAGCTTAGCTCATACCAAGTTCCGAATTGAACATTACTTATTTTAGAACCTATGGCTTATGACTGAAACTTAATATGTAAGCTATTTAATCATGACTTAACCATTTTTTAAATCTTTAAAGGTACTGTGGAGGATTTTTGTGAATTTTTGAAAAGACCCGCCCTCTCCACTTTAAAAAAATGCACATGCACAACCCTGTACCCGCTCCTGAGAGGGAACGCCTATTAAACACGTGTGAGAGTTTGTTTAAAAGTTGCCGTTCTCATAGCACATAAAAGCTTACTGTGTCCATACATCGCCCTAACCCCTAAATGCTTCAATCACTATAGAGCGGGGATTATACAGTGGACTTTATAGTGAACTGAGTTATGATCACTGCTTTTTTCTCCATTGGTCACGTAACTCCTCCTCCACTGCTCGATACCTGCGCCATCTTTGTTATTAGTCACCACTTTCAGGTAGCTACAGTCTATGGTCACAGCTGGCCGCTGTGACAGCAAATCTTGTGCTTTGTGAGGAGAGCTCTCAGCGCAAAGCATTCTCGGATATATCTGCCTCTTATAAGGCCTTTCTTTTCTTCTCAGACACTTTAAAGACACTTTTTCTCTTATGACCCTTAGGATTTTAAAAGAGCCGCTGTGAGAAATGTGAGCTTCAATGACTGTCCAAAAATATAGCTCACCGCACATACAACTGGAAGTGCGCATGTACAGAAAAAGATGGGGGACGAGCACACAAGACGGCCTTACGTAACCATCGCACCAGAATGATTGACAATTAGGAGGACCAATTATTTAGATGATCCACCTCTACATAAAAGATCGTCCTTTATACTTTTAAGAGAGCAGCAATTTAGCTTAATTTTCTAACGTTACTAGCCGCAACTAGGAAGAAAACAGTACTGTCTCAAGAGGCTGGATTTTCTGAAATGTAGTTAGTCACAGGCAGTTTACTTTCTCATGTTAGTTCCACCCTAAAAGTTAAACAACTTGACATAAGTGCACAGAAACAGGACCACACACAAGCATGAGAGAATCTACAGGCACAGCAACCCAGGAGCCTCATGCTTGTGACGTATTGAGTGCCTCATGATATTAAATCTATAGGCACAGAATGTTCAAAATGCACTTGGAGAGTAGTTTAAGTCAGTGTGTTTAAAAAAAACAGCTTGTTTAAATCTTTATTACGCCTGTGCACTTTTGGCAGAATTCTAACTCCATACCATGGCAAAATGGGAGTTGATCTGAGGATTGTATATAGCTAAATAGGTAGCAATCCTAGAAGAAAAACTGTTAGAGGCTGAAAAGGACTTGATATTATAAGCAGGTTCTCCCATCACATGCTCTTGAGTCAGTCCCTCATATAAACTGAACAAAATACTTTTGAGTTTCTTTCTTGG